AGATATCTTTTCAAAGTTAACTTCTCTTCTGACAAATGTATTCATAGAAGATAAAGAAGAGAAAGAAATGAAGAATTGATAATTCTTATATTTCTGAGTTCATGTTATAATCACAATGCATATTCTGAATGAGAAGATATTAGTAAGATGTTTACTTAACTTCAGAGTAGATATTAACTTCATATTCTATTTCTTTTCTTTGATAAAGAATTGAAAGAAGATAGATCTGTCAGATCATGCAAAATTTACTGATGAAACAAAATATCACTATTTTAACATAATTCAAGCAAAGTGTGTAATCACAGACTTAGAAGAAATCTTCAAGAAGAGCAGTCTGCTTCTTCACACAGTTAATATTATAGATAAGAACATCATTCTAGATCTTCTGTGATTGAGAGAAAACAATTCTCTCATTGACTGAGTCACTCAGATATGACAGTATTATCTCACTAATAAAGAGACAGTGATAGAGGAATCTGAAGAGTTTTATCAGAAGAATCTTGAGAAAAAGATAGAGTTGATATACTGTATAGTAGATGATTAAGACTTGAGAACAGCTGAAGAAGTCATCACTCTTACTACAAGATTAGCAGCAGTATTCATTATTAAAGACAGATATACATAATGGCTCTTTACAGATTATAAGAATATCTTTTCAGAAAGAGAAGCAGTAAAGTTTCCTGATATCAAGATATAATATAAGATTCATCTTGAAGACAGTGTAATAGCACTGTATGAGCCTCTTTACAACTTGTCTGTAAAGAAATTGAATGTTCTGTATAAATATCTTGAAGAAGCATAATCAAAGAACTGAATACACTTATCAAAGAGTTCAGCAGAGACATCTATACTCTTTGTACTCAAGAAGAATGATAGGCTACACCTATATGTAGACTACAGAGGTCTTAATAAGATGACAGTTAAGAATCACTATTCATTACTATTGATTGATAAGATGATCAATCAATTATCTGAAGCAAAGATGTTCTCAAAGATTGATATATAGAATATCTATTATAGAATCAGAGTTAATAAAAACAATGTTTAAAAAACAGCTTTTCATATCAAGTACAGCAATTTTGAATATCTTGTTTTATCTTTTGATCTTTGTAACACTTCAGTCATCTTTCAGGCCTATATTAATAAGACACTGCAAGGTCTTATCAATATCTTCTGTATAGTATATCTGAATAACATTCTAATCTTCTCAAAATCAGAGAAAGAATATGATACTCATGTTCAAGAAGTGTTGAGTCACTTGAGACAGTATTAACTCTATGCAAACACTGAAAAATGCTCATTCTACATGCAGAAGATTGATTTCTTAGATTATATTATTGAGATGAACAGCATTTCAATGAATAGAAGTCAGGTCTTTATCATTGAGAACTGACTGATGTCACAGATGTACTGTGAGATGCAGATATTTCTACAATTTATAAATTTCTACAGATAATTCATCTATATATATTCATAGATTACTGTTTCTCTTACAGATCTATTAAAGAGAAGTGTGAAAGACAGAAAAATGAAACTATTTATTCTCACTCAAGACATTATACAGGTATTTACAGAATTGAAACAAGCTTTTACAGATGTTACAATGCTGAATCACTTTAATTCTCGA